GCCAGCCCTTCAAAGCCTGTCTTATATCAATATTTTACTAATTTACCTCCTCTCTATACATTAAAATGGATGTTATTTCTGTTAACAACTGTACCTATTAAAAAGATAACTATATCTAGCAACTTAATGGGCAATTCTGAAGTAGTAAGGAGGATGTGATTACAAAGTAAAAATGTATCTTCTATTGACTAACTCACTTTTACACTTGGGATGTACTACATCTAAGAGGTTCAGAGATTCAATTCTCATTACTCTTCAGATCAGAAATCCTAACACACAAGATTCTCCACATCCTCTGAAATTATATTCTTGGAGAGAAAGTGTGAGGTAATCAGATCACCAGCTGCTTTCAGCACTGGAATACATCTGTCTACCAGCAGATGCAGGCCAGCCTCGCCCACTGGCTTAGAATAACATGTATGTTTATTATAATTCCCGCCGTGACCCACTAAGTTAGCTGGAAAACACAATTTCATTTAAAAAACGACCTCGCAGAAGATCTGTGAGGTAGTCAGTCTATGAGTCATTATGAGCCAGTGTGTGATGTCAAGTGGCAACATTGCACTGCCTCAAAACTGCTGAGTGTGCACCACCAGACCAGAAAGGAAGGGCTTCCCCTCTGTGTGCTGACCTGCTAATGGTGAAATTCATGCTGACAAGAGATGTCAGGCCCGGCTGTCACCTGTGCCCATGTGGCTAACTCATCCCTGCAGTCCCAAGGGTGCCTCCCAGTGCCACGCCCCTGCCTGTAGCCCATAGGAACGCATACTGCTATGCTACAGTCCATGACTTCTCCCACTTGGTATAGTCAAACTTCTGGATAAGCCTAACTTGTTCTTCTTCCCCATTTATCCACTGAGAGAGGAAGTTTTCCAGTTAGCCACCTTCTTACTTAGATCAAAGCAAGCCTGAGCTATCAGATGGGCAGCAAGGAGAGAGGCTTTAATAAAAAATGTTCTCCCTTCTCATCTTGAGGTCTGCAAAATGTTGGTAAGGTCCTACCGCAGTAGAGGAAACTGAGGCCCCGGGAGGTTAAAATAACTAAGTAGTGATGGAGCCTATATTGTAACTTAAACTTCATAGGAGGCCTATTAACTTACAAGGGAGGATACTCCCAAGGAATGCGCCTGCCATTCCCTCTGCTCCCAACCTAGGTTCCTGCCCAATCTCCAGTTCCTCAGCCTGCAACTGACAGAACTCACTCCGGACTGTTCCTTGATCATATAGGGTCAAGCTTCAGCTATTCCCTCAACAAGAAGCAAGTGCCCAACAATTCATTTTGCAATTTTATCTTGGAATGAAAAACGTAAAAAGCAAAACTTTCAAGACCTATTTCCTTCCTGACCCCATCCATCCTCACTCCCAAGGCCCACTTCAAGGAAATGTAAAAAGGACCTTCCATTTCTTAGGAAAGCAACAGGAAAATGCCAAGTTTTCCCGGGACAGAGGAATACTTGAGTGCTGGCAGGAATTTCTTAGGGAGGAATTCACGGAGCGTTTGCTGCAAGTTTAGGCTCACACGTGCCGCTCAGCCGCCGGCCAGGGCCAGACCCACTGCTCCACTCTGCGCCCAGCCAAGTCTTGCCTGGCGAGGGGAGTGCGCGCCTCCGGGTCGGGGCTAGTGATGGAAACCCAGGTGCCGCTTTTTAATGGGCTCTCGAAACTCCTAACTCCGGCCCCACCGCGTGGGCATGCTGCTCCGACCCTGCGCGTGCCGGGCCCGTGGACACAGGTGTTGCCACACGCTCTGGGTCTCTCCCTCTTTCACGTGCCCTCCTGGGTTGGCATGAGGGCCAGATGCCCAGGGATCCGACGCGACTGGGGAAGGCGGGGAGGGGGCGCCCCGCTCCCGGCTGCAAAGAGCGGGGCTCGGTGCGCGCCGCGCCCTGGGTACTCACCGGGACCGCTGCAGCTGCTCCAAGGCGCTGGTGCTGCCCCCCTGGCCCGGCTGCTCCAGAGAGCAGTAGTTCTGCGAAGTCTGCCTGGAGAATGCGATGGGCAGGATTCCCTGAGTGAACGAGTTGAGGCGGCCCCGACTGCCGCTCATACTCCCGGGGGTCCCGGAGCCCAAGAAGGCGGCCGCCGGCACCTGCACGCTGGAAAACGCATCGTCCTCCTCTAACAACTCCTGCGCGAAGGCCCCCGGCCCGTCGGGCAACTGCGGCGGGGCGCAGGCGGCGAGAGGCGCGAGCCGGGATGGCTGCCACTGCTCCCCCGACGCCCGGCCGGCACCCGCGGAGCTCGCGAACCCCCGGGCCGGCCCGGGGCCGGGCGCCGTCGCGTGGCCGCCGGGGGTCAGGGGAAGCAGCGGCGACGGCTGCGGGAGGCAGGGGCCGGACCCAGCCGCCCACGCCGCCGTGCTCGCCGCGGCCAGCGCGCTGCAGCCTCCGCGCTCCGCAGCGGCCAGCAGGCTGCCCCGCGCCCTCGCGCCGCCCGCGCCGCCGACCCCCGGCTTCCCCGCGCCGCCCGCCTCGCCGCCGCCCCCCTCCTCGTCCTGCAGCGGCGGCCGGCCGTCCAGCGAAATGTTGGTGAGGAAGGAGAGGGCAGCCTGGCGGCGCCGCGGGTCCATGCGCGGCTTCCTGGGGGGCTCCGGCGGCGGCGGCTGGGCCCGCGCGGCGGCCGCGGGCTGGGGCTGCGCCGGCGGCTGCTGCAATCCGCGGGCGCCCGCGGCGTCGGAGCCGGCGCCGCTGCTGCTGCTGCTGCTGCAGGCGGCCGTGCCGGCGGTGGCGGCCGTGCTGGCAGCCGTCGCCGCCGCCATTGTGTCCGTCTGCGGCGATATTTCCGCGATGCCCCTAGAATCCAGCGGCCCCCGGCTGCTAAGCGGCCAGCGCGAGCGCCTGCGACCCGGGCTGGGCAGGGCGCGGGGCGCGGGCGGCGCGCGCGGCTGCCCGGCCCCCCCGCGGGCGGGCCATGCTCGCCCCTCGGTGCTGGGGCGGGGGGCGCTGCTGCCGGGCTCGACGCGCGGCTCGCGAGCTGGCGGGCTAGCTGGCCGCCTGGCGCTCAGCCCCGGACCCTCCCGGCGCCTGGCTCTCCGGCTGCTCCCGGTGTCCGTATTTATAGGTGCACGCACCCGGCGCTCGCGCTCCTGAGCGCTTTTTGCAATAACATGGTATCACGTGTGGGTAATGAAACCTGGGAGGAAAACAAAGCCGCAGGCACGGCTGCAGAGGCTGGCGGCGGGACGCGAAGGGGCAGGAGGAGGAAGGGAGAGCCGAGAGCGTGGCGGGCGGGAGGTCCGTGGGGCGGTCCAGAGCCTCCGAGCTTCCTGCGGAGTCAGTGGCTCCCCCCGTGCGCTGAAGCCAGGTGCTGGAGGCAAGCATGTTTCCCCTCGGGCTGGAATTGGAATTGGGGGTGCAAGCAAAACCCCGTGAATCACCACGCGAGGATGCGGTCCCAGGAGAGTTGGGGGTCTGCAGGGCAGTTATTTGAGCGACGCAGAGACATGGCCCTCGAAATACTTAGTTGAACCCCTCACTGTTGTTGAGCTTGGAAAAATAGGTCCTTGGCAATAGTTACAAGGGGAGATCCACAGCCCCTTAGGTGAACGCGGGCGTTCCAGCTGTTGTTGACCATGGAGGTTGTGTCTCACTCATTTGCAGACCAGAGGAGGTAGCCTCTGAGATAAATGCATGTTTGGGGGTGCATAAGAGTCAAGCATGGGGACATGTTCTCTGTGGCCAGAATAATTTATATAACTCCATTGGACGGTTCTGTCATCTGTCATCTTTTTCTTAGCAAAGGCCAACATAATTTTTCACTTTGACTCTGAAATGTGCTCAGTTTTCTATGAAGACTGAGGTGGGCTAAGGTGGCCTCACACTTTCCTTTGTCACCTTGCAAACTTTTATGGATTATGATCTCTTTTTCTTCCACATAAACTGGAACCAGTATAGACAGTTACTTGCTATTATTTATTTCAGAAACGTTTGAAAAGTCCCACAGAAGGACTCATGACCTTTGTAGAGCTGGCGTTACAGAATGTTGCACCCCTACTTCATCCCCTACCCCCTATCCAGTGGCCGTCCTGGGGGGTAAAAGACATCTGAAAACATGTGCAGGTTTCCCTATGCGTTTTGGGTGACTTACCAAAAGCAATAAGGATCAATGTCACACTGAATTAAGCTCTAGGACATCTAAGAAACCTCTCTACATTTTTCAGAGGGTGAAACAATGTATTTAAGAGCAACAGATTAATTTAATTAAAGGTTTAAATTTAGCCCTGGAGCTAATGGGTAACCCTACATTGAAATTCCACTCCATTTCAAGTTCAGGAAAGTAAAGTGAGTAATGGAGAGCGAATACACCCTGTGCAGAGACGTGCGCCAACCTGGAGTATGAGATATGGCTGAGTTTCAGGTTACATTTGCTCAGGACAAACATGGCACATGGCCCTTTCCATGAACAATTGTTCAAATTTTGGTTTATGCCATTTTTAGGCCTTTTGAAAAACTAGGGCTTAGCGCCTATTTATAGCAGCCTTATATAGCAGCTAAGTCAAAGCTTGCTGACCAACTCTGAAATTTCATTAGAATTTTAATTACTTTGTTCAACTAACTACCCCAACACTTTCAAGCCACTTTATTAAATTAACTCAATTTACCTGACCACTGGCCTGGTAGCGCTGGCAGTCAGTGTTAAACGAAGGACTCCAACTATACTCATGTAAAAGAAAAAAACTACATTTTATTACAAAGGTGATAAATGTTAATTGGAGAACATTTAGAGAATAAGATAATCAGTGAAGTAAAAAAAAGGTATTAACTATCGTCTTCTATGAAAATAACTGTTAAAATTTTTATTTCTATCCTGTACATATTTTTAAATAAAAGTGAGATCAGGCTGTTTGTGTCTTGTGATTTTTTTTTTAAAGATTTATTTTTATTTATACAAGAGCTGGGGTACAGGCTAGAGTTGCGGGAGGGTGAGAGACAGATCCAGGAGCAGAACAGGCAGAAGGACCCAGGGCACTGGGAATCGAACCGGTGCTGTGGAGGCTGCGGACAGCTTCACCGGGCGGTGCTCAACCCATGTGCCACTGGGGAGGCCCTGTCTTGTGATTTTTGCTTGCTGAGTTGCAATCATCTTTCACTTATAATAATCTTCTGTGGCATCATCGTAATGACTGCATAGTGTTCAGTTTGATTGGGGACAAAATTCGTAAACTGTCTCTATACTGTATGGAAAATTTAGGTTACTTCTTCCATAGTTGTAAGGCATGCTGATGATATTGACATCTGATTTTTTTTTTTTTTTTTTTTTTTTTTTGGTTAAGTAGAAGCTGGGGCAATACCAATCATGTTTTTAAGGCTCTCCATCTAGAAAGATTGTTTTCAATCTCTTTCCTCATACTCTTGTGAGAATTGGGTATTAAAATTTTATCTTTGGGGCCTCCCTGGTGGCGCAGGGTTAAAGTCTCAGCGCTATCAAACTATTACCAGCCACTGTGACATGAATTCGAACCCTGGCCAGGGTGATAACCCACATGAGCTGCAGACCTCTCCTGTCTCGCTCGCTGCTCCCCTCAGCAGTGTAGCTCAGTAGATCCACCTGTTCTGCTCCCCACTCTGTCTCTGGTGAATCCTCTCACCCCCACACCTCTGGCCTACACCCCAGTTCTTGTGTGTATAAATAAATAAAAATAAATAAATAAAATTTTACATTTGCCTATTTTAAGTGTCAAGTGCTCAAACTAATTTCAAATACTTATAAAATCATCAAATAAGAATCAACATCCATTTAGCCTCCAGACTGCTCCTGTGATGTTCTTAAAAAGATCATGAGAAATATGATTTACTGTTCGCCTACTGTGTACCAGCCACAGACTATTTCTAACATTATGACCAACCTGCAAGGGGAGGGTGCATTAGTATCAGCTTTTAACAGATAAGGCTCAGAAAAATGAATTTGCCCAAGATCACCTCACTCTTAAAGTAGCTGGGCCAGTGCACAAACCTGTCTTACTGTAGACCCAGTCATGTTCTGGCGCCCTCTGCTGGTGAGGATGTTTCATGGGTGGACTCTGCTTCAGCTGTAACTTTACATCGGTACTTGAAATTCAAGTATAATGGGAATTCAGACTTTGAAGAAAGGGGATCTAGATTTCAAAAACAAATTTCTTTTTTTTTAAATAATAAATTTTATTTTTATATTCCCCATACAATTGCAACCCCCCCATTCTGACCCCAGTCCCTCCCCTCCCGCCCCCCACCCCCAAAAAGTGTCTCTGGTTCATAGTTTTTTGTTGATTTTGATTTTCACTTTCTTATAGTTATTCATTTTCTTGGTCCCTTATTTAAGTTTTCTAGATTCCTGCTATGAGTGAGACCATCCGGTATTTTTCTTTTTCTTTCTGGCTTATTTCACTGAGCATGATCCCTTCCAGCGCCATCCATGTTGCTGCAAATTGCATAAAAACAAATTTCTTAATCTCTCCAAGCCAGTTGCCACTGTGGGATATTCTAAGTTATTAACGAGACTGCATGAGAAATATTTTATAAAATTATTTTTATTTTTCTAAACTTTATTTTTTAAGAAGTGGGGTGCATGCCAGAGTCGGGGGGTGGGTGGGAGGGGGTGGTAAGAAGATTCACCAGAGAGAGCCGGGAGCAGAACAGGCAGATGTGCCGAAACACACTGCTGAGGGGAGCAGTGGGTGAAATAGGAGAGGTCTGCTGGGCCACATGGGTTGCTCCCCAGCCGGCCAGAGATGGAACTCACACTGCAAAGGCAGTGGACAGCCTCACAGCCCTTCGCTCAGCCCACTGCGCCACCAGGGAGGCCCAGTATTTTATAAAAATTAAAGAACTTTTAAAAATATCAGTTTTTATAACATCCTAATCTACTTCCTGAATTATTTCACCTATTTATTCATTGACCAAGTATTATTGAGCAACTTCCATGTGCACACCATCATCTTGTTACAAAAGAGATAAAAATAAGCCCAGCCTTAAACGCTGTGCACTTGATAGTGAAAATAGTGGAAAACAAAACCTCCATTAACTTTCTTATTTTCCCTTCTGAGCACCCATTCTAAAAACTTTTTTTACTTACATGAATGAATGGTTTCATTAACACATAATGTGGTCAATTAACTAAAAGAAAAAAAGAAGCTCTTTGTGATCCTTTAAAAAAACAATTCAGGGGCCTCCCCAGAGGCACAGCGGGTTGAACGCTGCATTGTGAAGCTGCCGGAAGCCTCTTCAGCGCTGGTTCGAGTCCTGGCTGGCCAGGGAGAAACCCACATGGTGCAGCAGATCTCTCCTGTCTCGCCTGCTGCTCCCCTCAGCAGAATATGTCAGTCTTCCTGTTCTGTTCCCCGCTCTGTCTCTGGTGGATCCTCTTACTCAACCACGCCTCTGACCTATACTCCAGTTCTTATATAAATAAATAAATATTTAATTAAAAACCAGTTCAGCACACCAAAAAGCCTGTATGTAATTTCCTTATAGTTGACAGTGGATATTGCTTATAACAGAAGCAAACTCAGGTAGTGAAGAACAACAAAGCTTCCAATGTCAGTTTAGGCCCTTACAGGCTTATGGCCTTTTGGGATTCCAGCTTGGAGAAAATTACAGACTGTTTTGTTGGTTGTAAAGATAGGCCTACCAATATTTACCTTTCAGAGTTGTAAGGATTAGAATTAATATAAATTATGTAACTAGCAGAGTATCTTTTGTTTTAAGATTATTTATGCATACAAGAACTGGGGTACAGGCCAGAGGTGCAGGGGGTGAGAGGATTCATCAGAGACAGAGTGGGGAACACAACAGGCAAATTGACTGAAATACGCTGCTGAGGGAAGCAGCGGGCAAGACAGGAGAGGTCTGCTGTGCCATGTGGGTTATCTCCCTGGCGGGGATCGAACTCCTACAGCAGCAGTGGCTGCTGATAGCTTCATAGTGCTAAGACTTAACCCCTTGAACCCACTAGCAGGGAGACCCACACTAGCCGAGTATCTAAAGTAGGTAGCTATTCTTGGAAAAATGCAAATGTATAAGGTACA